GAAAGCAAAGGAAAATTTTGAGCCTCAGGAAACTCCCCAAATTTCAGCCGCTCTAACATGGAACAGGAAAGTATTTCTTGGAAGACATTATGACATGGAATAAATGTAAGGTAAAAGAGGAAGAGGAGAGAATGATAGAACTATCTTCAGCTTGTTTTGAACCCATAATCTGCTTCCAGTCTGATAACCACATAGAATGTGGAAAATTTCCTGCCAATAACTACTTTTCCATCCATTCCAGTGGAATGATTTAACAAGATGACATATGAATCTCTATTTTGAAATTAATTAGAGAATTCACATGGACAGCTGGCTGTGGTTTGGCTTAAACCTTTATTTTACTTTTTTAAGAATGAGGGAGCTACAGATAATTGGATGCCAATTCTTTTGAAATATGAGTGTTCCAGCAGAAGACAATATTTCTAGCTTAGGGTAGTGACGTTGTTAGTTGCTTGCTTCAGATGTTTTATTACCCCGAAAACCCATAATCAGTTTGAGGAAGTGGGGTATTTGCTTCTCTCTTTACACAGAGTAGCTTGCCCTGAGCATATTTGTGGAGGTGTGGTTTGCTCCTTGGTGGACTTTGATTAGGGAATTATTTTCTGCTTGATTCACCTGCTCGGGTGTTAATCCCTGTTTATCTGGATGTTGGCTGCTAGAGAGGATGTGTTGTGGTCTTTTTGTTTCCTTCTTAGCTTTTTAATTGTATTTTTAATTGTGTGCAAATATGGTTTATCTGTCTGTTGGTGACTGATTTGTCTAAATGCCTTCCATGAATTCCCTACTGTTTTTGCATTTAGCTCAGTGTAGGATGTTCACAGTTTCTCAACTGAAACTGCGTTGAGTGTATGAGTCTAAATCGGTATGTCTCAAAGTGAAAAGTTTTCTAAGTACACTAATAAGAACACAAATCAGCTGTCAAAATTGAAAAATATCAGCCATGCCAAATTTCAAGAGGTTTTGAATGTCAGCTTCTTAAAAAGCCAGGCACTAATTATAATGGATGTATAATAGAGAATTGTTTGTGTTGTTGCAATAACCCTATGACAACAATTATTGTTTTTAAAAGAAGCAAATATTATTATCTCTTATCAAATCATGTAATCACACCAATATTCAAGAGACTTTAAAATGCTTTCCACCCCTTTGCCTACATCTGCTTAAGTCCTGGGGTTAACTATAACATAGTGATGAAATCTTGCTGCTCCTTCAACACAACGTGCCAATGGAATGTGCTTTTTCTTTTGGAAATTTCCTCCCTCTGCAATACGTTGCTAGACAGAAGGCCAAGCACCATAGCCATCCAAGAAATTGCAGTTCATTACTGCCACAATATCACTGTGAGAACCCAGCATTTATCCGCAGTTCCAACAGTGAAGTGATATTGGATACTGTCGACTATATGGCTTAAAATTCATTTCCCTCCTACAGGCTTCACAACAATGCCATTTAAAGGAAAACTCATCTTCTTGTGATGGCTGTTTTTTTTCTCGGCATTATTTATATTAGCAGTAGCATATCAACTGTATTTCATGACATTTAATCCAAGTAGGGGAAAAAACCCACACAATTGCTTTACAATTTAAAAAAACTGTAAGAGTTTCCAGTGAAAACGTGTTTTTTTTTTTAAATAAAAGAAAATGAAGGTTTAGAAATGTAACAGTGATGTTTTACATTCGAGGATTGAGAGGACTGCAAAATGCAAGATTTGCCCAGTAGCTTGGCAAGGTTGGCTGGTAAAAGGCAAATGGCTCCCATAGTTCACTTTTGAGGGATTCATCAGTAGGACAACAGCTAAACAATGAGACTAGTCAGCCATTTTTTATAAGAGATCTTGTATAACTTCCCGAGAGATCAACAGAATCTACATCTCCTTTATGCTTGTCTCAATGGTGCTTAAACTTAGTTGCAATTTTGATTTATATTGCATGAATAGCATTTATAGGGAAGACTGTTGACCAGAGGTGATATTCAGCAAGTTCTGACCAATTCTGGAGAACCGGTAGCGGAAATTTTGAGTAGTTCGGAGAACCAGTAAATATAACCTCTGACTGGCCCTACCCCCCATCTATTCTCTGCCTCCCGAGTCCCAGCTGATCTGGAGGAAATGGGGATTTCGCAGTAACCTTCCTCTGGAGTGGGGAGGGAATGGAAACTCTGCATGTTTTAACCATCTAACTGGGATCAACTAGTTTTTTCCACACTATGATATTGTGCACACACTCATTGGAACTTTCTATTTGTTCTGACTTCATATGTTCCTGACCTGAGTTCTTAATGGATTTGAACATTCCTCTTAAGTTCAGATGACCCTTCAGAACTGAAGAAGCTTCTTGGATGAGAAGTGGAACATTTTCAAAGGAAAAAAAAAAACTAAGGAAGTCCAGTTGCGTTTTGGAAAAAGCATCTTTGGGACAAGCATGACCTGGATGATTGAGAATCTCCATAGACATTCAGATGATCTTTTTCCAACCAGTGTAAGCAAGAAATATTCAGAGCTTTATTTTATTTGCGGCATCCATATACATATTGCCAAAGTCATAGGATGTTTTTTTTAAAAAATTCCTGTTATATTACTATTTCAGAATAGTAATGCTGCAAGAGAAACTTTATCTGTGAACTTGTTTTGAGCTTGACGTTGTCGGCTATTAAAATGTTTTTCTTCAGTCTTAAGAAATATCATCATAAAAAAAAACAAGAAAAGAAGGCCAAGGCCACGTAAAGTCAAGATTTATATTTATGATTGGGACAATCAGCATATTTTCTGAATAAAAAAAAAAAACTTTTCAGCCTCCATATTTAAAAGTTCCAACAGACACCTTATCAAGGGTGTGTTTGTGTGTGTGTGTGTGTGTGTGTGTGTGCGCGTGCGTAGGCAGTATTTTTTTCCTTCTGTGGTATACTACATGGCTGTACACCAAATTTATAGATAGAGGGCATGCAGCTGGGTCAGTGGGAAGAATCTCAAAAGATGAAAAAAGCAGGTGTTTGTCAGAAAAAAGATAAGCCACTAATACTTTCATTCCCTGGGGAAAAATGCAAAAATAGCACTTTTTATTTGGCTTCTTTTTAACCAATTACTTGGTTACAGAGCATGCAGATGTTTATAGCACCAAATAAGGAAGTAAAAATAGGAAAGGGGTAAATGAAATTGTATAGTATGTAATACAGACTTGGGAGTGCTTTCATCTTGGGGGTCTTTGCTTAGTTAGCTCAGATAAGTAACCATTAGTAACCTTGACTATCACTAAGTGTTGTATCTTTTTATTAGTGATGAATGTATTTTATTCTCCTTATGTACAATGAGAGCTTATGCACGGAAGACAAATTCCTTGTGTGTCCAATCATACTTGGTCAATAAAGAATTCTATTCTATTCTATTCTATTCTATTCTATTCTATTCTATTCTATTCTTCTGTAACAACACAAGAAGGATGCTCCCTCCCTCCTCCCACTGACATACAGGTAGACCTCAAGTTACAACTCAAGTGCTCATGACAGCCATAAGTTGTGCTGGATGTAAATTAGGTCTCACCCACATGATCAACCTGATTATGTCATTTCTGGGTGATCTTTAAGCAACCACCATGCTCATTAAGCAAATGCTGCAGTCATTAAGTGAACCCATGGTTTGCTACGGGCTGGTTTTGCCAAAAAAACAAAAGTAAATGCTGGCTTTCGGCAAAATGTTGTAAAACACACTGTGGGATGCTACAAGTGGCCATAAATGCATGCCAGTCATGTGAACACTAGGGGGGCAGTCATTGGCATTTCAAATCTGGATCATAAGTAACCCCCAGAGAGGTCCATTGTAACTTTGGATTGTCGCTAAGGCAACTGGCTGTAAGTCAAAGACTACCTGTACCTCAAAACCCAACCCATAGGTTCTAGACTATCCCACCAACATTGCTGAACAGTACACACATTCAGAGAGAAAGCTTAGCAATGCAGTCAGGAAAGCAGATGCAGCATAATGCGTCTTGAACCAAGCCATGCCATTCAGACTACAGAGACAGGAGCAAGCATTGCATTTTTCAGCTGCAACCTATAGAGGTCACCTGCAGAGCAAAAACAAATGTAGTTCGGCTCCCTAATAATTCATTGAGTAGGGAATTTCTATGCAGTCATTCCTTATGCCAGAAAAACAAAACTTTTCACTTTAAAAATAATAATAATACAGTAGAGTAATGCAGAATCTGTTTTATCTGTAGAGGAACCAAGGAATTAAAATTACAGAAATGCCAACTCTCCTTTAATAAAAAAAAGCAATATTCAAGTTCTTCTGGTGTTTCTTGTGTATAATAGGAGGGAGGTACAGAAAACCCCAGACCCCACCTCTATTTTACACACACACACACACAGAGGAAATGTCATTACCACATCTATATCCATATCAGTTTTCATCTTTGATGTAAATTATTGGAACCAATTCAAGCTTTGTTGGACTACTTCCATTCATGGCTGAAACAAATGTCTGCTTGCTACGTTAGAAGTGTACAAACACACAAACAGTCTAGGATATATTAATCCATTCACTCGGAAATTGACAGATCCAATTTTGTGTATTTCCTTTCATTAAACTACATGAAAAATTATACACAACTATACTAAATGTCTTGGCTTGCAGAGGAATATTCAATACTGTTTGTTTATGTGACGTGAAACCCAGTTTTTCTTTTCGCTCTCAAAATATTTAAGTTGATGCTCATAATTTCCCTCAATTACCACATATTTGCCACATTCTTGTTTGAAACCGTAAGAATACCCGAAGGCCAGAGCTCATTGGGAACTGTGTTTCAAAAATGCATAATTTGTTGGGATACAAGAAGAAAGAACTCATAAAACCAATATCGTATAAAAATAAAAGGCTAGGATTTACGCATAATTTACAAAATCAAGCAATTTAAATAGTCCTGAACATTCAATCCTTTTTCCATACTGCAGACATGAAAACATTGGTTAGTACTTTCCCCCCCCAATATCAAAGAAAAGATACACACCTGACATCCACTTTTCGCCTAAATGAAAGCATGTGGAACAGGATAAAAGAGAATGAAAGACAAACAGACAGAGTTTAGATTAGATCAGAAGAAGTGCAGTTTTGGAACAGTATTGAAAGTGAGAACAGTAGATTGGACTGATCATTTCCCTTTTCTTTAGTAGAAACAAGGCATTTCATAGTGGACATCTCTCTCCCACCCACTTTCAATGCAGATCTAGAAAGTTTTGAAATTGCTTCCTTCAAGAAGAGACAGCTTCATCCCAATTTCACAGTGACAATCCAGAAAAAAACAACAGAAAAGTAGGAGAACATGACAGACATGTGAAACAATGTTTATGTACAACTTATGTACCGAGCCGAGGTGGCGCAGTGATTAGAGTGCAGTACTGCAGCTACTTCAGCTGACTGCTAGTTCAGCAGATCAGCGGATCAAATCTCACCGGCTCAAGGTTGACTCAGCCTTCCATCCTTCCGAGGTGGGTAAAAGGAGGACCCAGATTGTTGGGGGCAATATGCTATTTAGTATACTGTCTTTGGTGTAAGCCGCCCAGAGTCCTCAGAGAGTGGGCGGCATAGAAATATGACTAATAATAATAATAACTGGCTGCCAATATTGAAGGTGTTTCTCGACATTTTTCATTTCCTTTTCTTCTTTTGCAGGTGTGGATGAATGACGTGTCTCCATGGTACAAAGTGGGACTTTGTTTATATTGGGGTGTGTGTTTTTTTTTTTTTTTACAGTAGAGCCAGGACATCTCAAAATAGGAGAGGATTGCTCCCTGATGCTTCAGCTGAGGTATAAGAATTCAATATATTTCTTTAATAAAGGAAAACATGGAAGTTCTTTTGGCAACTCTACAGATGTTCTGAAGGGAGGGGTGATGCATTATGTCCAAGAGTTTGAAGGGGTTGTACTTCTTGTGAAATGGGTTATAATTTTCCATGGAATAGGCTTATTCTATATTTAACCTAGCCTGATTCAGGTCTGGAGACTATAGTTGTTAGAATTAGATTAGAATTAGAATTAGAATTTTTTATTGGCCAAATGTGATTGGACATACAAGGAATTTGTCTTGGTGCATATGCTCTCAGTGTACATAAAAGAAATATAGTTGTTGAAGCTTTCAAGCCCAAGCTGGGCTGTTTTAACAGTTATTGTAAAACTGTCTGAGACTGTCTGAGACTCTTCTCATGCAGATCTTGATGACACAGCTAACATTTAGTTTGTGTCATTCTTTCTCTAGCTGGATATTGCAGTTGTAGCCAAAGGAAGAAACAATTGTTTCCTGGCCCTGCTGAAAGACATAAAATTTGAGTCCAGGTTCAGACTGATGGGAAGAAGACCATGTCTCTCACCTTGAAGCAGACTTCTGATAGCCACCGCTTGAGAGTATTTCTCACCTTTGCAGATTGTGGTAAAGTTCCCTTTTAGTCCTTAGTTTCAAGACATCATTCAGGCCCTCTCCAAATACTTTGCCACTACTGAATGGACCTGATAGAAGGACTGACTTTGATTCTGAGTGTATGTTGCAGTGTCTCAATGAAAGTTTTCTCCTAATGGCCACGTTGGCTACTATGCCTCTGGCTGAAAAATGGATTTTACCCAGGTTAGTCTCCACAATAAGAGAGATAGACCCGACTATGGGTCCTATCTATGACCTGTGTGGGCTAAGCAAGATTAAGTGTTTGGTCCATAATATAGAGGCCATAAACTAGATTAATGCTATAGCTCATCTGGCCTTGCAAAATCTCAATTTTGATGTCCCGTTAATGAGGTGTTCTCCCCATCTTTATTTGCTGTACATTTATTTACATGTATTGATTCATTTATTTATCATATTTCCTAACCACCCATCTCCTTCAAAGTTGGCCCTGAGGTCAGAATTACCATAGGAGTGGACACCACTATGGGAGTGTTAGGAAATTGATGGTGAACCTTTTCGACACCGAGTGCCAAAAAGGTAGCGCGGAAACATTGCACGCATGTGCTTGTCGGGGCTGCACTCTGGAAAAGCTGACCTTCCGGGTTCTAGTGTGCATGCGTGCCCGACGATCACCTGGCCAGCACACATGAGCAGGCTGGTTTTCAGCACTGCCATGCATGCGAAGGGATCACGCTCTAGAAAAGCCGAACTTCCAAGTTCTGGTGCACATGCGCACCCAACAATCAGCTGGCTGGCACACATACGTAAACCAGTTTTTGGCACTGCTGCACGCGCGAAGGACAGCTGATCGTCACGTGCACAGGCAAAGCCAGGTGACATGGCTTTGCGTGCCACTTTGGGCACACGTGCCATAGGTTCGCCATAGACATAGATGGTCTATGACCATATGTATGTCTGTTTTTGCAGCCACCCCTGCAAAACAAGCACAGTTCATGGGCTGATGGAGGTCTCCTGGTGGAAGTGAAATGAAAAAAGGAAGCATGTTAATGGTACCATTGGAAGCCTCTCTCCTCCCTCATTTCCAGTCTGAGAGAATTCCTCTGATTTAATCCACAGACAACAAGCTATTGAACATGAACTTGTTTGCCATGTAGTTTGTAATATGAAGCCTTAAAGAAAACAGGTAAATAAAAATGGCACAGAAAGGAAGTAAAAAGAGAATATGAGTTGGTTCAAAACTGGGATGGAACTATTCCCTTTCACAGGAAACAATATCGGAACTTTCAAGGCCTACCTCCAGAAAAAAGTGGGTAATATTAACAATGGAATGCTCCAGCTTCACATGACAGATAGTCCTTGATTTACAACCAAAACTGGGACCAGAACGATCATTGGTAAGCAAAGTGGTCATTAATTGAATTGTGTCTGATTTTACAACTTTTTTTTTTTGCCATGGAAGTTAAATGAATCACCACAGTTGGTAAGTGAATCACAGGGTCATTAAGCAAATTCTTCATCCCATATTAACCTTGCTTGTTGGAAACTGATTGGAAAGATCGCAAATGGTGATCATGCGACCCCAGGAGGCTGCAACTGTCACAAATACATGCCAGTTGCCAAGCGCCCGGATTTTGATTATATAACGGCAGGGATGCTGTGATGGTAATAAGTTTGAGGGCCAGTCATGTCACTTTTTTCAGCACCATTGTAACTTTGTACAGTTGCTAAATGAATGATTGCATGCTGAGGACTACTTGTAGATACATCCAGAAAAAAACAAAACAAAGAATCCTAAAACTGATTTTAAATTATACACCTAGGAACTGCAGAGTGCCTTCAAAAACCTAATACAGTACAAGTCTTTATCTTTAATAAGATGAAAATCAATCAAAGCTATGTATAAATTAAATAGTAGTATAATAAAAGCACAATTTCCAATTGTGGCGAAGGAGTGGTATTAACATAATTCATCTTAATTGTTTGTACTGCTTTGAAAACAGTGAGGTTTGTCTGTTTAGTTTAGGATGAAGTCCAAACTAAAAGTTTGTTTCTTACATCTGAAGATCAGTCTGGTGGATGGGAGTCCATAAAGTAAAGTACATAAATCTTATGTACAAGACTCCCTTAATGGATCTGAAAAAGGCTCCCTAAGGTTGCGTCTTTAGGAATCATTGATAATGTAGTATTTACACAGTTACAAAATAATAGTGAATCTAAAGGTTAAAAGAATTTTGTGAAACTGATTTGGCGGTTATGAAATAGAGAATACAGACATTCGAATCTGCTTAGTTCAAGTGACTCTTATATTGACATAGGATAACAAAATCTGTTTCAAAATTGTAAAGTTGGAGGGGGCAGATGGGCCATCTCTATTCTTCCATTTGGTGTGATTGAAATTAAAGCATTAAAGCAACTCTAATTGAAATTAAAGCATTCCCACTAAATATCACTAAATGAAAATTCACTGCCTACCTTAGTTCTCCCATTTCTTAGCTTCGTTCCTTCTTATTTCAGTGCTATTAATCATCTTCATACAATAATAACAAACCAAACATCCAATCTAGACAAATTTTGGCTATTAACTAAAATCCTAGTAACTTTCAATGTGGGCATTGTGGAAAGAACTGCAACACAGCACTTAAAATAGAGAAGTATACAATGCTCTCTTTACAAGAGAGAAGGGAATTAATTAACCAACAGTCTTCTTTGTTGTTCAAAGTAACTTTAAGAAAGAAAGGAGGAAGGCTTCAAGCAGAAGTTCAGATCGGTTACAGGGCACATGAAATCTTTAGACAGAGGAGTAATGAATGAGAAATATTTCCAACAAGGAAGCAGAACGAGGGACCAACATCTGTATCTACCTGTTCAATTAAATAGCAAATGGTACCACTAATTGGTCATAACATGTTTTAAATAAACTGTATCCTCTTCAGTCTTTATCCTGCCTATCTTCATGGTGATTTTATGTCAGCCTTCACCAACTGGGCACTTTCCAAATGCTATCAGACTACAAATCCCAGAAATCTGTTTGATTGGAAAGTGTTGAGCCTGACTTTATTTTACACCAGCTGCATGTGGCAATGCCCCATTCTTTTAATTTGACTGCATTTGTTTTTTTAAAGTATCTAGACGGAATGCTCCTTAGAACATTTTTTTTTCTCTGTTAAAATGTCTATTAGCATAAATTGGGTTGGACAACCTGTCTCTTTTCAAATCATCCAGAGTTATAATTCTCAGCAGCTCTCACCCTGGACCAGGAAGACTAAAGCTGTAGTTTAGCAGCATCAGAAGATATATAGATGGTCCACCATTATTTTTTTTAAAAAAATCTCCAGTTGCTGAATTCCAGATGAATTTAAGCTGCAGAACAAAAAGTTAACTCAGAGAGATCTATTATAAAGATTTGAAAATTGCTCCAGAAATTATCTTAGAATTGCCTTCCTTTTAACATCCATGCTATAGATTACAATAAATACTTCCTACATAATATTTTAGAGAGAAAGAAGTTTTACATTTGAACCACTGTGGCATTTCAGTAGAAAAACCTGGCTCAACATCTGTACCAAATACAGAAGTTCTTACTATGACAAAAAAGTACTTACGTGTTATTGAGGATTTGGAGGCGTTCTCCTTTTTTGAAAGAAAGATCTGATTCTGTCCGTGATTCATAATCATAGAGGGCCACAAATGTTGTGACTCCACCTGGAACAACATACATTCACACAATAAACACCAGTCCACAAGCAATCAATCAGCATTGTCACTGCTTTATGAAAGGCTGTGTAGTGAATATACTGAATCTTTTTTTGAAAGCATCTCAGTACATTCAGCTCTATCTGTACAGCAACCATTTCTGTGTATTTGATTACCTTCCTTTTCTAGATAATAAAAAAATAGATACTCATGAGCAAATGGAGTATTCTGTTTCTCCTTCTAATGTAGTCATTATTCAATAAGAATTTTTGGCAATGGTTTAAATATTGTAATTCTAATATCTTCACACTTTTATATTATAGAATTATAAGACTGGAAAGGACCTTGAGCAACTCCTTGCCCAGGGTAAGCTCTAGTAATGGAGTACCTTCAACTCCAGGAGATGAGCTTAACAGCTTTCCTGGTCAAGAAAATGCTCCTTATTTTGAGTTTGGAACTTCATATCATTGGAGATATGAAAGAATAGCTTCTGCAAGCACAAAAGTTAAAAACATGTGGTTGGCTATATTCGCACAACACACTGAATGAAGAGATTGGCCTCACAAACATATTAAATCAGTATCTTGGCTACCTAATATCTCAGTGAACTGTGCTAATGCAGTCATTATGTAACATGTATCCAAGGCTGTATGCGTAATTTATAATTTACTATTCCATGAAAGCTTAGAAACTGGGTTAATTGAAGAAACCATGGGGAAGCCTTGAAAATGCTCTTCACTTTAATTCAGCCATCAACAAAGAAACCCTTTGATGCAGTTCCACAAAATGAACATCTTTCTTCTTCTAGACACTACAGTAGATCCAGTGCAGTAGTGTATATCAAAACAGCTGCTTCACTGGTTTCAATTGTCCTCTGCTCATGCTGGCATATGCACAGAAGACATTTCCACCAAAACAAACAAGCTGGGCAAAGAGAAGGGGTTTGCCACAACATTTCAGTTGGAGGCACTGAGGAAGCACATCTTGCTTTCCCCACCCTCAAATGATATAGTCTTGCTTTACCTGATATTACCCAACCACAAACTGTGTTAGCTTGCCCAGCCCTAATAAGCAAATTGTGTGAATTTTTTATCACTGCATCCTCTTAACCCTAACCCTTAGTTTTAGACATAAAAGGAGTATATTTCAGATAACCAAAATAGTTCTAGATTAAAAGTTCCTCCTGTGACAGAAAACATACTGATCAGAAAATTTTGGAGTGTGCTGAAATAAGTAAATTGACATTTGAAATTAGGGAACAAGAAGATAAACAATATTATTTGATATGGGATTTATTTTATCAATGGTTAGACAAGAAAGAATGGAAATGAAATATGAAATGAAATGGATAAGATAATAAAATATATAAAGGTTTTTTTTTCCCCCTTATAGAGGATAATTTACTGTTAAATAATTGGTAAAGGAGAATAATAATGTAATAAACTGTTAAATAAGAAAATGTGGGACAGAGGATTAAGCACAAAAGATTTGTAACCGATCAATACACTTTCTGTAATTGTAATGGATGACAATTGTTTTATGTTTTAAGTTTTGTTTAAAAAGAAAAAAAAATTTAAAAAAAAAAGAAAAAAAGAAAACATACTGACCAGCTAAAGCACCACAACGCTGAGGAGAAGTGACCATATCTGATGTATTTGATCCCCCAAAGAGCTTTGGTTCTGTAGCTGTATTTCCAAATAACCGACTAGGGGTACGATGAGTTTCTGGGATGGTCGTTTTGCTGGGAGTTTGAGAGGTAGAGCAGCTGCCATGTATATTTTCTGTGGAGTCCAAACTGCGTCTCCGTTGGCTAGGGTCTTTGGGTTTACTTTTACTGCTCCCCATGGTCCAAGCTGCAAGAGAAGAAGACAGCAAAGGCAATATTATATTTTTTGCTATGGCTGGTGGGCTCTTCAATTCTGGAAGACGCAACAGGTTTTCTGACTTCTTGGATGGCCAGGTCAAAAATTAAGCAATTAGGATGAAGTGGCTGCTTTAAAAGAAGCACACTCTGTTCTGGCAATTATTGGTTCAGAGCAACCTGAATAGACATGGAAAAGCTTTTATTCTGGTTACTGTCTCTAGCTTTGGACTTATTGCTGAGCCTTGAAACACAAAAGCAGAAGCTACCTCTGTTATTCCATGAACAGATCCTTACAAACGCTTACTGAAATAACCAGGTTCTCCTTGATTTTCTAGGCTTAGTTTAATTTCAGCTCCAATAGGTAAAGAAAAGGGTTTCAAGGACAAGAAGAAGGAACTTAAATCTTCCTTTGGATTTTCAAAACCTGGCCAGCATAATCATACGGTCCATTTAGCTTCATAATCTATATATGCCCTAAAGCTCAGCTGCTCTGGATAAAAGCTTAAAGTAGGTTCAGGCTTAGGCCTGACTGAGCATATTATTCAAAGCATCTTTCCCAGAGGGTTGCTACTGAAGCACATTTGCCTATGTAGTACTGTAACAAGGGCTGAGTTTGACCTCTTCCCGACATGTTTTCAAGGACTTTGGTTCAAATATACACAGTAACAAAAAGAACAGTGTTGTAGTTATCACATCAGTTCCGCCAAAGAATAAAAGAGAAGAATTATGCCCTCGTCCCAAGGTAGGAGCAAATTAAATCAAACATATTGCAAACTACCAACATAATATCCAAACTACAACATAATATCTAAGGCTACAAATCAAATAAGAGCCATGGCCTTTCTAATGATGCAAGAATGAATATCACCAAGAAATCATGTCCATTTTTCATTGTGCTATATATGCTCTGTTTCCCCGAAAATAAGACCCAACTGGAAAATAAATCCTAGTGTGATTTTTCAGGATGCTCATAATATAAGCCCTACCCCCAAAATAAGCCCCAGTTAAGATTGCCTGCCAGATGGATGCATTTAGTACTGTATTTCTTCAAAAATAAGACCTAACCAGAAAATAAGCCCTAATGCATCTTTTGGAGCAAAAGTTAATATAAAACCCAGTCTTATTTTCAGGGAAACATGGTATATATTGGCTTTCAAGAGATCCCTAAGCATTTTGAATAGTGATCTAATTCATACACTGAGTTCAAACATCAACCAAGCCATACTGAGGCTTGTTTGTTTCTACTTGGCTTGGCATGATGATTGAATCTATACATAATCTTTTGTAAATTGCAGATTGCATGGTTGGAATGTAATGTGAGGAGCAAACCAATTGGTTTATTGAACAAACCATGGTTAAATAAACAATGTCACAAAACAAAATACTAATTCAGTCATGCACTTTGGAGATGAATGATTGACAAAGAGGATAAAAACAACATGCAATCTATACCCCATTATTTCAACAGATGGTTTTGGTGGAGGAACCTTCATGTGGAGGGGACATTGTACACAAGGATACTTTAATTCTTTTATTAGAGACTGCTTCCCAATCACACAAGAATTTCCATGCTAACAACTGCCCTAAACATATGTTGTGTATTTCTGATCCTGTTTCTCTATCTTTATGTGTTGGCTAAGTATTCACAACACACTTAACTAGGGCACTGAAATTACTAGATTTACATAATACATTGAATCATTGCCTAATCAAAGTCCTGGATTTGCACTTAAGTTTAAGCCACACACATAATAAGATTCAAGTTAAACAAGCTTAGTTATAGTATACTGAAGAATTAAACAACTAGGCTTTTTGCTGATCTGATTAAGCATGGTTCTGTGGATGCAGCCATTCTAGGTTCCTTATACATTCCAAGGTATATGCTTTAAAAGCACTTTTAAACATTTATCTTCCCTTTGTTTAATGACCTTGCAATTGATTTCACACCTGGTTTGCTGGTGATGTGAATCAAACTTGAATGTTTGACTGGAGAGAAGGTTTCCTCTTCTCCTTGTGCTTGCCTGTTTTTAAACAAAGTGAGATAAAGTGCTTTTGGAAGTAGTCTGCTATCTCAAAGTCTCCTTTCTCACTGATCTGGCATGGCATAATAATGGAGCCTTTCCTGCAGCTGATTTACTCATGAGGACAAGTCCAAACTGGTAGTCTTCAGAGAGAAGGGCTGCAAAAGGACAAGATGAGTTAGATGTTTTCTGTCCTGATAGTAAGGCCTTCAGTATGAACTCTTTATAAAAAAAAAACATGGCCAGTATTGTATTATTTTAACTGCATTTACAGCCAAGCAATAATGGGATTTGTTTAGTAAACCTAGCCATTGTTGAAGGAATCAGTAACATGGCGTCACATTTTACCTCCAGCTAAGTATTAAGAGAAATTAAATGGCTCCACCCTGTACTTTCTGTGGTGAATCCCTAGTTTTGGTAAGGCATGATGAATGCCTGAAAGGATGGAATGTTTTGTAAAATAGACTCCCCTGTGCAATTTCATTCAAATAAAGGCCGAACTGGCATAAACTAAGCTTCACCTTTATAATGGAATATTATAGAATAATGAGGAACGTTGGTTTAACTCAGAGGTCTTCAAACTTGGCAGGTTTAAGACTTGTGGACTTCAACTCCCAGAATTCTCCAGCTGGCTCCAGCCAGCTGGAGAATTCTGGGAGTTGAAGTCCACAAGTCTTAAACCTGCCAAGTTTGAAGACCTCTGGTTTAACTCCTAGAAAATCTCCAATTTGCTGGCTAGATTTAGGACATCAGTGGAGCATTATCAGTAATTAAATCAAGTAACTTTCTTTCCCCAAAAGCTGGCCTCCATTCAACTCCCCATTCTATAAAAATGAGAATTGCTCAGATAAGGAGCAAACAAATACATATTAAGTTCTGAATTTCAGACGACTGCAAAGAAATATAATCCTTTCATTCCCACCTCACTCCCGCTGCCATTCTGTCAGAACTAATCCTTTCATCCTCCCCACCATCCAGTCAGAACCAATGAAGCTTCTTGGATGAGAAGCTAAATGTCTTTGTGGGGAAAAAGCCCAGTTGCCTTTTGAAAAAGCACCTTTCAGACAATCATGACCTGGATGACTCTCCCTTGATATAAATGAAGGACTGCAATCAGAGTCTGATTATATGACATAGTTATGTCTTACCCATGCAAGTAGGGAAAGATAGATTTTTTAGTAGGCTTCAGAATCAAGCAAATTTGTATCCATGACTGCATTTATTTCTTCCTGTTGCTGTTAGTCCCAAACCTCTAATCATTTACTTCTTGAAATTGTTGTAAAGCTTGCTTCCAGCCCTCCTCAAAGTATTTTTAGCACTTTATCTTTTCGTTAGTTGTGCACTTTGCCATTCAAATGATACTTGAACTGTCAGATGTAAATGCCTTATTCCCTAATGTGTAAATAATGTATATAGGGATATCAGGGGTTTACTTATTCTTTGTTTCTTAATGTATTCATAATTCACCACTCCCACTCTGGCTCCACCCTTGTTTATATATAAGGAGCCACCTTCGCCATTTTCCTCGCTTTCTATGACTGTGAATATGGAAGTGATAGATATGCCTACTATAATTAAAGAGAAATATTTTGAACCTCTAACTCTCATTATTATTATTGAGTGATGAAAAAATTATTGCAAACAAACTGGTAGCAGAGGATGGTTAATTGACTCAATAAATAACTAAAAATGTCTAAGAAAGATAGGCCCAACACAGGGCCTACAGCAAAGAAATAGAAACTGAACAAGAAATAATCAACGAATCCACAAACGCGATTTCGAGAGAATCCGAAGAATACACCACTGAAGAAGAAGAACTAATAAATGAAAATGATGGCCAGGAAGAAATCGAAATAGAAAATAACGAACTCAGGTCAGAGATACTGAAGCTTTTAAAAAGCCAGAAGAATGATGAAAGCCTCATCGCGAACCTCCAAGAAATGCTGAAGAACAGCGGAGCAGCGAGAGGGAAAAACATCGCTAAAGAGAAACCCAAAGACCAAAAAACTGTGAGTGATATGACTACAGAGAAAGTCGTTATGAAAAAGAAAAGATGTGATACCGCGCGAAATTTTGAATGGCAGCCATCTTGGTTTCAACAAGCCTCCAAAGTGAGCGAAGCAGAGCCAATCAAAATGCTCAGTTCAAAATTTCTGGCGCGAAAAAACGTTATCAGACAACGAAAGTGAAAAGGAGGATTCAAACTCTTCGGAAGAGCCAGAATCAGAAAATGAAAACGACTTAACGAAATCCCAAGTAAAGTCAGCAATGAAGACGCTTTTTTGCTGCATTCGGGCCAAAATTAAAAATTTCCAAAGCGCCAACGAAGAAGCAAGCGAACAAGCCGATACTTCAAGACCTGCACGCTCCCATCCTGACTTCGAGAACGACGACGCCCGAGCCTAGAGAGCCATGTCGATTCCGCCCTACACCGCAGACCGAAGCAAGTGCCAACGCACCCAAAAGAAAGAGAAGAACAGTCGCCGCCATCAGAACTCCTAAGACCGAGCCAGAGACCGACTCGTCTGAAGAGGAACGGAGAGCGAGCGTGCGAGCATGGAGAGAACCTTCCACGACGACGTCAAAGAAGAAATGAACAACGCGCATGTGCGAAACTACGTAGACGGTCCGGAAAGACTTGAACTGGCCAGAGAACCGCGCAGACTCGTTGCGAGCATTCCCATGCCGTTTTGCAATTTCCTACACTTGCGAGACCACGGACTGCCTCAGGTTGTAAGTAATGGACAAAATAATGTGGGTAACTTACCCAGTGACTTCCCAAAACTTAGGGTTGATGGCATTAATTTACAAGAATGGTATCAACAGCTCCAGGTTGTCTTTATGAAAGAAAATTTACTATTTTTTTATCACTAGTGAAGTCTTGGACTTTAAAAATAGAAGTTTACACCATAAGGCATTTTTCTTAATAATATCTAGCGTGTCTCCTGCAATGATCATAGACTTGTTT